ATATCGGCCTGTAATTCTCTTTCTTTGTGGTACCTCTGTCTGTTTTTGGTATCAGTGTGATATTTGCTTCGTAGAAACTGTTCGGAAGTGTTTTTGATATTTCAATTTCATGGAAAAGCTTAAAGAGCATCGGGAGTAAGGCCTCTTTAAAGATTTGGAAGAATTCACTAGTGAATCCATCCGGGCCAGGACTTTTGTGCTTGGGGAGACTTTTTATTACCATTTCAATTTCCTTGATGGTGATAGGTCTGTTCAGGTATTCCAGGTCTTCTTGGTTCAGCCTTGGGAGTCTGTAGGAGTCTAGGAATTTATCCATTTCCTCGAGGTTTTGATGTTCCGTGGCATAAAGCTTCTCAAAGTACTCCCTGAGGATCCTCTGAATTTCTGTGGTTTCTGTTGTAATGACCCCCTTTTCATTTCTGATTCGATTTATTAGGGTTTTCTCTCTCCCTTTCTTTGTGAGTTTTGCTAGAGGCTTATCGATCTTGTTAATTTTCTCAAAGAACCAGCTTTTGATTTCATTGATCTTTCGGATTGTTTTTTGGGTTTCCATCTCGTTAATCTCTGCTCTGAGTTTTATTATTTCCTTTCTCCTGTTCGGGTTGTGCTCCTTTTTTTGGTCCTTCTCCAAACTCTTAAGCTGTGAGGTTAGGTTACTTATGTGTGCTCGCTCCTCCTTCCTGAGGAATGCTTGTAGAGCTATAAACTTTCCTCTTAACACAGCCTTTGCTGTGTCCCATAAGTTTTGGTAACTCGTGTTCTCATTTTCATTCGTTTCTAGGAATCTTTTGATTTCCTCTTTGATTTCCTGTCTAATCCACTCGTTGTTCAATAGTGCACTGTTTAATTTCCAGGTGTTTGATTTAGTTTTCTGTTTTTGTGTGTGATTTACTTCTAATTTCAGCGCATTATGGTCTGAGAAGATTGTTGATACAATCTCTACCTTCTTAATTTTATGGAGGCATGTTTTGTGGCTCAGCATGTGGTCTGTCTTGGAGAATGTTCCATGTACGCTTGAGAAGAATGTGTATTCAGCTTTTTGTGGATGAAGTGTCCTGTATATATCTACTAAGTCCCTTTCTTCCATTGTTTCCCTCAAATGAAGTATGTCCTTGCTAAGCTTGAGTCTGGTTGATCTATCAAGAGGTGACAAAGCAGTGTTGAAGTCTCCCACTAGTATTGTGTTGCTATTGATGTCTTTTTCCAAATCTATGAGTAGTTGTTTTAAGTACTTTGCTGGTCTCTCATTAGGTGCATATACATTTATTATTGTAAGTTCTTCCTGTTGTACAGATTCTTTGATCAATAAGAAATGGCCTTCACTCTCTCTTATGACCTTCCTCACTCTGGAATCGATGTGGTTTGATATAAGGATGGCTACCCCAGCTTTTTTATGGGAGCTGTTTGCCTGTAGGATTGTTTTCCAGCCTTTGACTCTGAGTCTGTGTTTGCTTTGACTATTGAGATGCGTTTCTTGCAGGCAGCAGAATGTTGGGTTCAATTTTCTAATCCATCCTGCCACTCTATGTCTTTTAATTGGTCTGTTTAGCCCATTGACATTGAGAGAGATTATTGTTATGGGATTTTGTCCCATTGTTCTGTTAAAATTTGGTGTATTTGAGGGGCCTTTCTTGCCTTAAAGTAGCCCATTTAGTTGTTCTTGTAACCATGGTTTTGAGTCTATGAAGTTCCTGAGCTGTTGTTTGTCTGTGAAACTGTGTGTTGTTCCTTCTATTATGAATGAGAGTCTTGCTGGGAAAAGTATTTTTGGGGAAGCATTTATTTCATTGAGTTTTTTTACTATATCCCACCACTGTTTTTGGGCCATGAGGGTTTCATCAGAAAAATCAGCTGTGAATTTTAAGGATGCTCCTTTGTAAGAGATTTCTTTCTTCGATCTTGCTGCTTTCAGAATTTTGTCTCTGTCTAAGGTTTTGGTCATTTTGATCAGAATGTGTCTTGGGGTATTTTTATTCGGATTTCTTCTAGCTGGTACCCTTCGGGCCTCCTGAATGTGGTCACAAGTTTTCTTCAGCTCTGGAAATGTTGTAGCAATGATTTCTTTGACAGTTTCTTCTTCATCAAGGTTTTCTTCCTGTCCCTCTGGGACTCCAATAATTCTTATGTTACCCCTCTTGGCTTCATCACGATCTTCTCTTGCCATCTGTTCCCGAATTGTGAGTCTCTTTTCCATTTTCTGCTCTTTTCTGGAGAGTCTCTGAACTTCATCTTCGAGCTCACTGATTCTGTTCTCAGCCGCTCTTACTCTGCTGCTGAGGCCTTCCACTGAGCTTTTCAATTCGCCTACGAGATTTTTCAGGTCTGACATTTCTGATTGCATTTTCCTCATTTCTGCCTTCAGATCCTCTTGTCTTCTATTGGCATTGCTTTCCATTGTTTCTTTTAATTCCCTAAGCATCCTAAGTAGCTCCCTTCTGAATTCCTTGTCAGAGAGGTTGTCTAACACTACAGTACTGTTGGTGTCATCTGCGCTAGACTCTTCAATATGAAAGTTTGGTGGGCTTTTGCGTTGCTTTACCATTGTGAGAGGTGTGGTTTAGTCCTTCACGTTCACTGTTACTATTCTGCTTGATATGCAGTGTGAGTTAAGATAGGCTTATGAGTTATTGGCTACTGTGTTTCTAGTGGCTGAGCTAAAATAGAGAAGTTTCCATCTAAGAAGTTAGCTTATGGTTCCTATGGCATATATAGTGGGAAAATATTTTGCGGCCGCATTAGCGGCCGCGGCTCTGGAAAGAGTCCCTGGCACTGGGCGAGGAGTTGGGAACGTCTCCTGTTTGGAATTGGAGCCGTTCAGCTTTGTTGCCCAGAGCTGGGCCTCTGTGCCCGTCCCATGCAGATCAGGGGTTGAAAACCGGCTTTCTAGGGGCTGGTTCTAGCTGCGCGTGCCCAGAGAGGGACCCAGGCCCTTGGGGGCGGGCTGTACCTGTTGGAATTCCAATCTTCACTTTTATGTTCATTGCAGCTATTTACAAATAATCAGAATCTGGAAACAACCCCAGTGCCGAGAACAGACAACTGGAAAAAGAAACTATGGTACATTTACTCATTGAAATATTATGTAGCCACCAGTAAAAATTAAGTTATAAAATGTGCTTATAAATGGATGTACATGGAGAGTATTATCCTGAATAAAATGAGTCAAAAGAAGAGGGACAGGGGCTGGAGTAATAGTACAGCGGGTAGGGTATTTGCCTTGCACACTGCCAACCCGGGTGCAATCCCCAGCTCCCATATGGTCCCCCGAGCACAGACAAGAGTGATTCCTGAGTACACATCCAGGAGTGACCCCTGAGCGCATATATATATATATATATATATATATATATATACATATATATATGACACATACATATATATATGTATGGGCTGGAGCCATAGCATAGAGGGTATGGCTTTTGCCTTGCTCGGGCTGACCCGGGTTCAATTCCTTCTCCCCTCTCAGAGAGCTTGGCAAGCTACCGAGAGTATTCTGACGCAAGGCAAAGCCTGGCAAGCTATACCTGATGTATTCGGTATGCCAAAAATAGTAACAAGAAGTCTCACAAACTGGTGCTCGCTCGAGCAAATTGATGAACAACGGGATAACAGTGAAATATATATATAGATATATATGTATATATCTATATATATATATATATTCGCGGCCGCACAACATCTAATCATCTCATTCCTTCTTTGGACAAACTGGCAGGCTACCGAATGTAACCTGCCCACACGGCAGAGTCTGGCAAACTCCCCGTGGTGTACCCAATATGCCAAATACCAGTAACAATGATGGGTCTCATTCTCCTAACCCTGAAAGAGCCTTGAATATGGCACTTTTAAAAAATATCTCAGGGCTAGGACGAAGGAGACATTACTGGGGCCTGCTCGAGGCAATCGACAAACAACAGGATGTATATATATATACATATAAATTGAATCACCTTGAGATACACAGTTATAAAGTTGTTCGTGGTTGGGTTTCAGTCATAATGTTCTAACACCCGTCTCTTCACCAGTGTACATTTCCCACCACCAATACCTCCAGTTTTCCTCCTGCCATCCCCTCACCCCTTCAGGCTGCTTCTGTGGCAGGCACTTTTCTTCTCCTCTTCTCTCTCTCTCTCTCTCTCTCTCTCTCTCTCTCTCTCTCTCTCTTCTCTCTCTCTCCTCTCCTTTCCTTTTGGGCATTATGGCTTGCGATACAGGTACTGAAAGGTTAATATATATATATATATATATATATATATATATATATATATATATATCCCTTTGCCTTCTGTCAGCACTCAGCTTTGTCCAGAGTGATCATTTCCAACTATCACAGTTATCTCTCCCTATATATTTATATAGACATATATCTCAAAATGTGGAAAACCTGTATTTACCTACTCCTACAGTCATGCCAAATCGACAACAACATTTGGATTATGTGGCCAGTATTACTCCGATATAATCAAAATTAGGTAGGAATATCACAAAAAGTAAAACTACAGCTCTATATACCCGATGAACACACATGCAAAAAAATTCTCAAAAGCGTTACTGAATCAAATTCAATAATCATTGAAAGAAACTCCCCTCCAAACAGGACCTTCGCTTCACCCCAACCTCCCTGTAGATCTGAGAAATCTGGGAAATCTCATTGACTTCTCCCCCAGGTAAGTGCGCCGCCGCCACCGGGCTCCAGTACCTCGCAGACCTGAGGAATGTAATTCTTCTTGAAATAGTTCTTCAGACTGGGACTGGCATTGCGTAGCGAAGACATAGCTCGGGGGGTTCCCGTAAAAATGAGCACTTCCCATATGTTTCCCCAAACCTGGAGAAGCCCAGACGGCACCCTGAGACCAGAGCGTGCGCTTCGAAGCGTGAGCATCCAAAGCGCTCGGGACCAGCGCGTCTGGCGGTTGCCTTGGCAACCGGGGCGTAGCTAAGGAAAAGGGGCGGAACCTCAAGGCGGGGGCGGGAGGCGGGAGGCGGGGACGTGTCCGGGGCCTGAGTAGGCGGTTCAGAGTCCGTTTCCGGGAGGCTGAGCCCTAGGACCCATCCGGTTGCCGAGTCTCCCTCCGGGCGGGCCGTCGCTTTGCCCGGGGCGTGCAGACCCACTACTATGGGCGGCGGCGCGCGGGACGTGAGCTGGGTGGCTGCAGGCCTGGTCCTCGGGGCCGGGGTCTGCTACTGCGCTTACAGGCTGACACGGGGCCCGCCACGAGGCCCCCGCAAGCTGCAGCGGCGCCCCTCCAAGTCGGCAGGTGAGGTCACTGGGCACCTGCCTAACACCTGGCAGTGGACGGGGTAGGGGGTGCGGGGGTGGGGGCGCGGGGGTGGGGGCAAAAGGGGCCATCCGAGACAGGATAAGTGGAGGATGAAGATGCTCCCGGTGCTTGTGAACTTTGCAGTGCTGGAAATCGAAGGGTTGAGCGAGAGGCGGGAGGGAAACGCCAGAGAAGCCCGGTGGAACAAGAACCATCGTCTTGCTGGAGTGACAGTAGATCCTCTTGATCCTCCCTCAGCCCTGCCCTTGCGGCACCCTCTTCTTTTTCAAAATCCTAGGATGCAAAAATGACGCACGTGTTTGCTGCCTGTGAGGAGATCCACGCTCAAAAGCTTGTGGGTTGCTTCTCGCATGCTGCCTTGCCAAAAGGATCTCCCCCCAAGACTCTGGCTGGGGGGCTTTCAGGGCCTGAAGCATAGAAATGACTCAAATGAGAGCGGAGGAATGAGATTGAGGGAAACCGAGGAAATTCGACAAGAAATATCAGGTTTCATTAGAGGAGAAAACAAGGAGTGCCCCAGACTGTAAAGATAGAGACAATTTCTTTATTTAAAGAAATACTACTAGCTGAGAACTTCCCAAATCAATGACGTTCATAAAGCTAGGACACCTGTAATTCTGAATATAAAAAAGACCCCACCAAGATATAGCATTGTAAAATTACCAAAAGAAAATTACCAGAGGTAAAGAAAAAAATGACTAAATTCTTGGTGTGTTTGAAAGGGTTTCAGAGGTGTTCTGAAGGCACTCAGGACTACCTGCCTGCAGATACCATTCTGAGATTTATTTTTTTTACCTTTAATCTTTTACATTTAAAACAGTTTTTTAAACAATGCCTTATGTCAGGAGTGATCATTGATGATTTTCTTACTTTTTTGAGTCGCATTGATTTTAAACTTTAAATAGCTTTGTTCTTTTGCAGAAAACTTAACCACTGATTCCTGTGATAATATCCTAAATGCTGAGCAACTGCAGAAACTCCTTTACCTGCTTGAGTTCACCGAAGATCCTGAAATGATTGAACGAGCTTTGGTCACAGTGGGTAACAATGCAGCCTTTTCAACTAACCAGGTAAGTCCCCTAGTCCAGGTAGACTGCTCCCATTCTTACAGACTATAGTAATTGTGACCCTGACCAACTACTGAACTTCTCAGAGCCTCCGTTTTCATCCCTAGAGTTGAACTGTTTCAGCCTCCTGCACGTTTGTTGACTTCTGAAAATACAGCTATTAATAATACTATGATTATTAATAGGTGCCTAGACCCCTATGAAGTCAGACAATGACATCACCTTTGTACATATAGCTCGTCAACACTTTGCATTGTTATGGCCTTCTTACTATGTAAAATTCAGTAGTGCTTCAGTAGAACAGGGAATTTAGAAAAATTATTTTGTTATTATATTGGAAATTAATTTCTTATTTTTATTATTAGAAATTAAGTCCCAGAGAAATCATTCTGATGTAGTTGGTCCCTGGACGACACTAACAGTATAAATGGTACTGATGAGTAGGAGAATTAACACCAAGACTAAATACTTTGATCCGTGGGCCATAGAGATAGTACTGAGGTTAAGGCATTTGCCTTGCAAGCAGCTGACCCCGGTTCAGTCCCCAGCACCACCCACAGACTCCATCAGAAATAAACCATGAGCACTAATGGGTATAGCCCAGCCCCTTCCACCACCACCACCCTGCCCCAAAAGACATCAATTTGAGTGTTCCCTCCTCCCTACTTGGAGAAGAAAGTGAAAACAGGCTAAAGGAATGACTGGGGAGTTCTTAAGCATGTGTTTTGCATGCAGGAGTACCAGGTTCTATGCCTAGCACCCACATGAATCCCCAAGTACTAATCCTCCCCCTATTCACTAGCACCTCTTCCCACTAAAAGAGAACTATGGAGATGGCTCAAGGTCTATTCTTGCTTTTTTTATCTTTATTTTTTAAAAGAAACCCAAGCCATACTAACCTGTGCTTAGGGACTTTTCCACGTGCAGTGTTCAGGGAACTCTAGGGTGCCAGGAGTGGAACCCAGGGCCCTTGCATTGCGAACATGTGCACCAGCCCTTTGAGCTATTTCCCTAGCTGTAAAGGGAGAATATTGACCTGAGTTCTTGAATAGCATTGGTTTCAGGCACAAGTGACCAGATTCAAGGTTACAAAAAGTCTCATCAGAGTGTCACTTTTGGCTTTGCTTATTTATCTCCACAGCTTTTTGTGCACTGGCCTTTATCTCTCTGACAACAAAGAGGCTTTCTTCCTCTTAGGGGTTAGAAGAAAGCCACTGTCCTCTCAGGCTTTCATCCCAGTAGTTAATGATTTCAGCTGTTCCATTGCTTGCCTAAAACAGAATCCCAACCCTTCAGATCAGTTGTGGAGCCAAGGAATCCAGAACCCTGCTTGGTAAGGCCTGGCTCTCGTGAGTAAGGACAAATGTGAATACAGGTGACCAGCAACTCACCATGCACTCTGTGGGTGAGAGAATGTATTTTCTCTGCCGCAGGAGAAAGAGAGGTGCCAAGCAGACAAAAACAATAGACATGAACTGATTTATTAGCATGCCTGGGTAGTGTATTTCTAGGACCATAGTTCAGATTCATCTGAAACAATCTGTAGTCAAAGTAGTCACTACCCACTAATTAAGAAGTACATTGTATTATTTCATTTATTTTCCCAGTGATGGAAATCCAGGTCCTCACATATGCAAAGCGTGTGTTGTACTACTAAACTACAGCCCCATCCTAACTATCAGTTTTTCCCCAAGCAGTGTTCAAGTGGTCCAGGGGCGGGAGGGCATGGGGCCAGAGAGAGAGTACAACAGGTAGGGTGTTTGTCTTGCACACAGCCAACCCCCAGTTCTATCCCCAGCACCTTATATGGTCCTCCAAGCCCTGTCAGGAGAAAGCCCTGAACACAGCTGGGTGTGGCCCCCAAGCATAAACAAACCAAGAGGCTACCAGGGGTGGGGGAGCACTCCTGGTGATTCTTGGTCAGACACACTGGTGGCCCAATGTGAGGGCCTGGGAATGTGCTGTGTGAGACTTGCAGTGCCAGGGATTCTCCAGGCCACACTGCCAGTGATTGGAGGCCTCCAAGGTGCCACTGTGGTGCCAGGAATCAAACATGTCAGCCACATGCAGGACAAGCATCGTAAGCCCTGTATTATTACTCACAAACCACCCTTTTATTCATGGAATATCTTGTGATATTTGAGGGATTAGTGTTCCAAATAATAGCACAGCGGGTAGGGCGTTCGCCTTACAAGCGGCCAACATGGCCGACCCGAGTTCGATTCCTCCGCCCCTCTCGGAGAGCCCGGCAAGCTACCGAGAGTATTCGATATGCCAGACACAGTAACAACAAAGTCTCCAATGGAGACGTTACTGGGCCCGCTCGAACAAATCGACGATGAACAAATCGACGATCAACGGGAGGGCCTTTACATTTTACTAAAGCGCTACTTTAGTATCTTTTTTTTTTAACTTTAGTATTCTAAGTGCTAACAGTTTTCAAAATTTGTCTGCAATAGAGAATTCATGTTGCTTCTTTTGAAGTAATTTTATTTATAAACTGCTTTGAGCAATCAGGAATGTAGCTTAATGGTAGAGTGTCAGGTCCTGGGTTTAATCCTTAGTGCCTCAAAAAAAAAAAACCAACTGTTTTAGATACATACTTCAAGATTATTGCAGTTATGAAATTCTTGACTTTATATTTTCCTTTTGTTTTCTTGCTAGTTTAAATAGATATATTTGTTGTTGTTGTTGTTATGTTTTGTTGGGGGAATGTACCTGGCTATGCTCAGGCCTACTCTTTAACTTTGCCTTCAGGCATTATTCCTGGTGTCCTCGGGATGGGATCATATGGGGTGCTAGGGAATTGAACATGCCTCCCTTGGCACCGTGAAGCCATTATACTAATCACATTACTCTATATGACGTTGCTTTTTGGTTTGTTTGGGGGTCATACCCAGAGGTGCTCCAGGCTACTCTTGGTCACTCCTGCTGGTGCTCACTTCACCATTCAGTTGGCTGCATGTAAGGCAAGCACCCTATCCAGTGCACTCTCCATCCCATACTGCATAGCTTAATAATTCTGCTATTTTGTTTTCTTATATAGTTATGAATAACATTTTTAAAATTAGGATGCCTTATTATGTATGGGAACTGCATTTCCTAAGAGTCATTAATTTGGGTGTGTGGATGCAGAGAATTCACTGAAATGAGTGCATACTGAAGCTATAGCCCCAGATTTTCCCTTTCAGGTCATTATTCGTGAGTTGGGTGGTATTCCAATCATCGGAAAGAAAATCAACCATCTTAACCACAGTATCAAAGAGAAAGCTTTAAATGCCCTGAATAATCTAAGTCTGAATGTTGAAAATCAAGCTGAGATAAAAGTAAGTTGTCTGAAATCACAATTGGTCATAGTTAGAAAGGAAAGGAAAAAATGTAGATAGGTGAGTAATGGAACTTTAGTGGACTATCTTTATAATTTTATGATCAACAAGTCTTATTGTTCTCAGTTTTATTGAGATAAAATTGATATATAGCATTAAGTAGTTATGAAGTTTACAATATGATTTTATCTGTACATCTTCAAAAATGTATACAAATATGTGTACTTGATAGATGTATGTATTCCCGCATAGCAAGTCCTGATATCTCCACCTTCTTTCTGAGTGTACAGTGAGACATTTATAATCTCATAGTAACTTTCAATATACAATATAATATGTTAATTGTAAGTTACCCTGCTATACATTGATTCCCAATTTATCTGAGAACTAGATGTTTGTACCTTTTGACCAATATTTGTTCACTTTCTCCTCCCTTGGCACCGTGAAGCCATTATACTAATCACATTACTCTATATGACGTTGCTTTCTGGTTTGTTTGGGGGTCATACCCAGAGGTGCTCCAGGCTACTCTTGGTCACTCCTGCTGGTGCTCACTTCACCATTCGGTACCAGGGATAACTGGGGATCAAGTCTGCAAAACAAATTTTTTGTCCTTAAATTTTATGGAACCCAGAGCTCCCACATGCAAGGCAAGGACTCTCCTCAGCCTTCAAAGGCAACTTTTTTTTTTTTAAGTTGCCTTCTTGGGGCCAGAGAGATAGCCTAACAGGCTGAACATATACTTTGCATGCTAAGAATGCCTGCATTCAATTCCTGTCAGCACATGGTCCCCTGAGCACTGCCAAGTGTGGCCAAAAAAAAAAAAAATGCCCACATTTGAGACTTGTGTAGAATTGTCCTCTCTCCTGAGACTGCAGTCTCGTCCTAAACAATGCCTCTCTCCACAGGGAAAAGGGTTCTTTTTCAGTTCAGTGAAAGCATTTTTAGAGACTTTAAGATGCTTGCTCAGGGGCCAGAGCGATAGCACAGCAGGGAGGGCATTTGCCTTGCATGCAGCCAACCCAGGTTTGATCCCCAGCATCTCATATGGTACCCCGAACACCGCTGGGAGTAATTCCTAAGTGCAGAGCCAGGACTAACCCCTGAGCATCACTGGGCGTGAACCCAAAAGTGGAAAAAAAAAAAGATGCTTGCTCTCTCTCTGCCTTCAGGAGTACATCAGTCAGGTTTGTGCAGGTGTCTTCTCTGACCCCCTGAACTCAGCCGTGCAGCTGGCCGGACTGAGACTGCTCACGAACATGATGGTGACCAACGAATACCAGCACATGCTCCGTTGCCACATCACAGACCTGTTCCAGGTGCTGCTCACCGGAAATGAAAGCACCAAGGTACCAATTGGCTTCTTCCTGAAGTACAGAGAGCTCCTGCCTCACGCACAAGAGAACGGGTAGGAGGGGCACAAAAGCTAGTATAAGGGTAAGGAGCTTGTCTACACTTACCTAATCCCACTCAGATTCCACACCACATATACTGCCCTCACCACCTTGAGGAGTAAGCCCTGAGCATGTCAGGAGTTGTCACAAAAAAAAAAAAAGATGAGAATAAATTATGTAATTACAGATCAGCTGTTTTCTTGATATCCTCAAAAATGAGACAAAGTTTTTAGTAGAGATTTATTAGAAACCCCTACATGAGCAAAAAAAAACATATATTTTTTTATACCCTAATACTGAATTACAAAATTCACTTGTAAGATTCACCTATTTGTTACTTGATAGTCATTTGTTTCTTTGGACATCAAGTTTCATTTGCTGAAGAAAAGTAGCTTACTTGCCCTACTGAATACGGAACTTTCTCCTAAGTCTTGGAGTGATGGTTCTGGCTTACTGTGGCTCTGTTTGCTTGTTTCCAAACTTTTTTTTTTTTTAAATGCAGCCATTATTTGTTGGAAATGAAAACCACTTTAATTAATGGATGTCTTGGGACTTCAGTTTGGTCAGTTGTGCCATGTAGATGGCAACTAAGACCAAACTAAGTTAATAATGATCAGGAGACAAATGGAACAGAGACTCATAAGTTTTGATTTGTTGGGTTGGTTATTTCTTGGAGTTTTTTTTTTAACTTTTTTATTGTGAGATAGACCCTTACAAAGCCATTCATGATTGGATTTCAGTCATACAATATTCCAACACCCATCTCTCTACTAGTATACATTTCTCAGCACCAGTGTTCCCAGGCTCCCTCCCATCACCCCCTCCCCTATGGCAGGTGATCATCATCTTCTCCTCCTCTTCTTCTTCTCCTCTTCCCCTTCCTCCTCTTGTACTTCTTCTTTCTCTTCTTCCTCTTCATCTTCTTCCTCTTCCTCCTCCTCTTCCTCCTCCTTTCTCTTCCCCTCTTCCTCCTCCTCCTTCTTTCTCTTCCCCTCCTTCTCCTCCTCTCTTCCTCACTCCCTCCCTCCCCCTCCCCCCCTTTGGGGCATTGTGGTTTGCAATATTGATACTGAAAGGTTATCCAGAATACTCCTTTACCTACTTTTAGCCCTCAGATAGAGAAGAGACCAATATGACAATAATAGCTGGGAATAGTTACACTGAACAAGATCTTGGAGTTTTTTTTTTTTTTTTTTTTATGGTATCAATCTGTGTTCTGTGACACAGTTGAAATGATGCAAGGGCATTTTAGGACCAAATGTGAGCCCAAATATTCAGTGGCACTGAAATTATTTCAGAGGTTACCAAACTGTGGCTATAGAAAAGCTTCACTATTTGTCCTGTAGAGGTTTTACTCAGTTCCAATAGCTGTGCTTATTTGGATCTAGATGTACCCCCAAGGCATTCAAGATTAAATGTCTCAATCAGGTTAGCAATATTTTAACACCAACAGCCAATTTCCACAGCTAGCATCCATCAACATCTCTCTCCCCAGTGGAGCAAAATAACCTCCAACCCGAACCCCATAGAAACCTCCTTCTTTCACCCGTTGGCTGGAAGAAAATCTCTCTCCTATGCCTCTCTGCAACTGCTGTCCCCAGACCTCAGAAGGAACCTTGACTTTAGAGCCAGCAGATCTGGCCTGGGGCTGTATAGATCTGTTTCAGTCATGGTCTAATTTTTAATTTGCTTTATTACTTTTTTGTAAGATGACTCATACCTCTGAAGTATGTTCTGTTTGTTTCCTTTTCCATTACATAGCCTAGTATAGTATTTCTGGAATAAAAATCTTACATTTTTGTCTGTCTGGGAATTAATCTTAATCACAAGTTATATATTGTTCATAAAAAATGATCAGAGTAAAGTTCCAAGTTGCAAATTAGTTTCTGGATAGTAATCTGTTTACAAGTGAGAAAAATATATCCATTTAAGATAATTTTTTTGTTTGTTTTTTTGTTTGTTTGTTTTGCTTTTTGGGTCACACCCGGCAGGCAATGCACAGAGATTACCTCCTGGCTTTGCACTCAGGAATTACTCCTGGCGGTGGTTGGGAGACCATATGGGATGCTGGGAATCGAACCCGGGTCAGCCGTATGCAAGACAAATGCCCTACCTGCTGTACTACCGCTGCAGCCCCTGAGATAGTTTTCTTAGTATAAACACAAAAATAACTTTGAAAAAGATGATCTCAAGAACCAGAGAGATAATGCAGGACATGAAGGCTCTTGCCTTACACACAGACATCCCTGTTTTGATCCCCAGTACCGTATGATCCCAGCTGACTCCCAAGCACAGAGCTGGGAATAGCCTTCAGTGCTGGTAGGTATGACCCAGACCCACCCTAAGCCCCACTCCCCCCCTCACTCTTCTGCCCCGCCCCCAACAAAATGATTCTCATGGGCTGTAATGTCCTTTCAGATGCAACATTTTTTTTCTTTGACATTGTTTCTTAACATAAAAAGATTGGAAGATTTGTATAAATGGGCCTTAAGCCTGCTGCATCTACAAGGAAAGCCAACTAATGACTTTGCAGAAATATGGTATCACCACAAGATGGCAGAAGGCACAAGAGAAAAACAGGTTCAAACCACAATCCCTAGAGTTGTTTAATCCATAGTTTTACTTTTGGTAGGGTTTTGTTCCCCCTCTTCTTTCATCTCCCTTCATTCTCCAGAGCATCCCAACATTTGAATTTCGTTCAGGATAATAAATAGCCATTTCTGTTACTAAACTTATTCTCCTTGACTGCTAATGGGCTTTTTAAGATTTTACTGGCTTCATCCAGACTTGAGACCAATCTCCTTAACAACTCTTATCTTGGGGCTGAAACAATAGCACAGCAGGTAGGACGTTTGCCTTGCACACGGCCGACCTGGGTTCGATTCCCAGCATCCCATATGGTCCCCCAAGCACCAGCCAGGAGTAATTCCTGAGTGCATGAACCAGCCAGGAGTAATCCCCACGCATCACAGGATCTGACCCAAAAAGAAAAAAAAAAAAACCCTCTTATCCCTATTCAGAATGGAATTGACATTGGAGACATATTTAATCCCAATAGTTACTTTCAGTGTTGCCAGCAGCCAGCTGAAGCCAGATCAGACCTGGTAGTAATGCTTAAAAACAAAACAAAAGGCTACCTCTACCCTTTTCCCATAAGACACCAGGGTTGCAAGAAGACATGTTTCCATGTCCGGAAAACACAGTCTCCACAAACAAAAGATGCTGTTTTACTGGTTTCGGCTGGAGGGTGGGATGGGCGGGTAGAACAGGGATTTGTTAATCTTCTGCACTTTTTGAAATGTAGCTTGGCCTTATATTTCATTTTCTTAAGTTTATCCACAAAATTAAAACCTTGTATCATCTTCATTAACAAACTAGCATGTGTACAGTGACCAGACTATGTGAGTGTATGGGATAGATAAAACCCAGAACTAAAGTACTAAATCTAATTATAGTGATGATTTCTGTGCATAGAAATGTGGGGAAGTTTCCTTTTAAAACTTTGTGCTTTTTTTTTAGGGGGTTTTTGGCAGTTACAAAATAACGTTCTACACCAAAACACTAATTGAAAAAGAAATGTATACTTGTATTCTTTACATTGCATTTATAATAGCCAAGGTCTGGTTAAAAAAAAATAAAAGTGTCCAACAGATGAGTGGATAAAAAAAGGTAACGTGTAGATATAAAGAGACAGATTCTCACATATCCAAAACACAGTGCATTACTACTCAGTTATAAAAAAATGATTAAATCATGGGCCCAGAGCAAGAGTACAGTAATTGCATGCCACTGACCCTGATTCAATCTCTGGTACCCTATATGGTTCCCCAAGCCTGTCAAGAGTGATCCCTAAGTGCAGAGCCAGGAGTATTCCCTGAGCATTGCCAGGTGTGGCCCCAAAACGATGAATTTAAAAAAATTACTACTCAGACAAGGTAGATGGCAAAGGGCCTGAGAACATTTGCATGTGTGAGACCTGATCTCCATCCCACCATCCCTCACGCTCTGCCAAGAGCAGTTCCCAAGCACCAACCTGAGAATAACTCATGACTATCAGACTGTCACTGGGTAGGACCCAAAAATAGAAAGGGAAAAGATGAAAATAGATCAAGAAAGCATGAAGTAGACTATGACCAATGAAAATAAGCCTAGCTGGAGCTAGGAAAGAGGGTGAGGCAAAGTGCATTATCTATAGGATCTGGATTTGATCCACAGTACTGCAAAAAAAAAAAAAATCCTCTGACAACAATTTATCCAGCATGGTTGTCCAGTGTTGTGGTAGGAGGCAGAGCATGGGAGAATGAGGGAGGGGTGGCCAGGTAGGGCCCTAAGGATAGTGGGGATCACAAGGGTGGCACATGTGGTGCAAAAACACTGTCCAGCTGGAACAGAAATATCACCACTGTTGCAAACCATGTAACTGCAATAAGAATTGTTTTAAATAATATCCTATAGTGATTTTTACTCCACAGTGCCTCTATAATGCAAGATTGTTTTACAGTAAAACCCAGGTTCCTTCCCAGAATTTAGTGGAGAATACATCTCTCCCTTTCCTCTGTCAGAGTCGTTAGTCCTCTCTGTTCTTCCAGTCTGTAATTTCAGGAGAAAAGCATGGTTTCCTGGGGCCTTCGTCCTTGGAGGAAGAAGTCTATTCCATGTTACCTTTTAGTTAGAAAGCTGGTGTGGTAGCTAGTCACCTGTAAGTTAACATTAGTTTGCTGATTACATGTATCACTTTGTCTATTTAAATAATTGTACATTTTTCATGTAAAAAGAGAAGCTGGGACCAGAGCAATAGTACAGCGAGTAGGGTGTTGGCTTTGCACATGACCGACACAGGTTCGATCCCTAGCATCCCAAGTGGTCCCCTGATCACAGGAGTAATTCCTGAGTGCAGAGCTAGGAGTCGCCCCTGAGCATTGCCAGGTATGACCCAAAAAGCAAAAAAAAAATTGAGAGAGAGAGAGAGAGAGAGAGAGAGAGAGAGAGAGAGAGAGCGCGCTCAGGCTACCGGTTAAGATTAAGGAGCTTCCCTGGCGGGCAGCTGACCAAGGCTCATGTGTTGTCCTAAGCACTGCTGGGTTCAGTCTGCAGCACTGTAGGATATGGCCCAAACTTCCCCTGCCAAACCCTCCCCTCAAAAAAAAATTATTATGCTAAGTTTAAGGATTAGTAATGAACTGAAACAGGCTATGAAGTCTTAGTACTCAAACTATTGCAAAGTTTTCACTGTAAGTGAAATAAACTATAAGCTTTAAGAGATTCCTTTTTGTTGCAAGGACTATATTTCTCTTAATGTGAAAATCAGGAATGTAACATACTCAGTTCACCCTGAGCCTGGTGTTTGTGAGCATGGGATGAATGGTAAAGACACTGGTAACATTCTTTCTTTACACTGTTGACCTGATTGCCTAAGTAAAGTTAGGTCATGCTGCTGTAGGCTCAGTGCTGGAGCATGGCACCAAATGTGATATGGGTTCAGAGAGAGCAAGCAATTTTTTTTAATGGGGGGACGGTAGTGGAAGTGGGCGGGTGGCAACACCCAGTGGTACTGGTGGCCACTCTTGGCTGGTGTTCTGACAATGCCCAGATTAAGCCCAGGGCCTTCATGTGCAAAGCTGACATCCAGACCTTTGTGCCATCCCCCTGGCCCCAGAGAGAGCGAGCTCTTCCAACTAAGATGGCTTGAGGCAGCTTTGTGGGCTTCGTGGACAGGAGTGGAACAGCCTTGGAGCCTGGACAGGATTTCAGAAGATGCACTTGATGGTGCAACAGAAGCTAGGGAGAGACAACTCACTCCTGCAGGTCTCAAATACACCAGTGTATTTTTTATTTCAGGTTCAGGTTTTGAAAGTGCTCGTGAATTTGTCTGAAAATCCTGCCATGACAGAAGAACTACTTAGTGCTCAAGTAAGTAGCTTACCTCTTTTGTTTTATAAATACACAAATACCTGGATTTGATGGGAGGTAGAGCTGGAAGGATTTCATCCCCAAAATGTTAGCATGCTAGTATGGATTATCTCTGAGGGGAGGTACTAAAAGGTGGTTGCTTGGGTGTTGTTTTGGCTTTTGGTTTGGGGGTGTTTGGGGGATTTTTAGCACAGCGGGTAGCCAACATGGCCGACCTGAGTTTGATTCCTCCGCGCCTCTCGGAGAGCCTGGCAAGCTACTGAGAGTATCTCGCCCTTGCGGCAAAGCCTGGCAAGCTACCCGTGATGTATTCGATATGCCAACGTTACTGGGCCTGCTTGAGCAAATCGATGAACAACGGGAGGACCGTGACCGAGACTGATACATTTCTTAAATTTTCTGGAATGAGCATATTTTCCTTTCAAAGTTACTTTAAAAATAGTAATAAGAATGTAGAAGTACTACTGTTTTGTTACTTTAAAAATAGTAATAATAACGTAGGAGTACTGCTGTTTGTTCAGCGACGGATTAAGCTGATTGACTTGGGCATGAACTCCACTCAAAGTTACTTTTTAACTTTTTCCTAACAGCAACTAAATTTTCTGTCTCTGCCTGGTAGTTTTGGATGCTTATGTCCTCAAATCTCTTGTATTTGACCTCTTTGCATGCACCTGTCTCTGGGTATCCCCTAAAACACTAGGATTATTGCATGCTGCGGGCTGCTGGGCCAAGTGCCCAGTGAGTACAGCGTGACATGATGTGCTTTTTTCTTCCTGGAACTGTCAAGAGAGAGAAATATACATAACAAACAAGGTCATTAAAAGCTGTGATGAGCATTCTAAAGGAAGCAGAGTTGGTGTGGTGGGAGAAAAACTCCCAACTCCTATGTACAAGTGACCCTTTCTTATTCATCTGCTCATCCCTGCACCCGCAGTATCTGTGCCATGCGGGTGTGGGGGGGGGGGGTGAATTCCTGTGTGCTCATAAAGATTGTGTGATGGATCCTAAAGAGGAAAGGGGTGTCTTCCAAATGACCATGCTCAAGGATTACAAAAATAGTATTTTGCAGTCAATACACAAAGCATTTTTTTCCATTAGCATGTTGCAGTAGGGGTATATAAGGTTTTAAACATGGATGTTATGACAAGATGCCAAACAGTTAAAGCAGTTTTGGTTGTTGTTGTTGGGTTTTTTGGTTTTTTGTTTTTTTTTTTTTGGTCACACCTAGCAATGCTCAGGGGTTACTCCTGGCTCTGCACTCAGGAATCACTCCTGGCAGTGCTCGGGGGACCATATGGGATACTGGGAATAGAACACAGGTCAGTCGTGTGCAAGGCAAATAAATGCCCTACCCGCTGTGCTATCACTCCAGCCCCAATCAAAGCAATCTTAAAATGTGTGCATGCATATGAAAAAAAATTTTTTATATTTTATTAAAATAATGTTCATTATTCCCCTTCAGGTGGATTCAGCCTTCCTTTCCCTTTATGATAGTCACGTAGCTAAGGAGATTCTTCTCCGAGTTCTTACATTATTTCATAATATAAATAACTGCCTCAAAAAAGAAGACCGGCTAGCTCTTCAGTCTAAGTTCACTAAAGGTTCATTGTTTTACCTGTTATATGGAGAAGAATTTGCTCAGAAGTGAGAGCTTTATTGAATCACCACCATGTAGATGAGACAGAAAAGGTAACAGTAATTCCAAAACACTATTTGCTTGGTAATGTATATCAAAGGATAATGCTGTCTGAAAGTAATCCACATAAATTCATTTTTCACCTTCCTGACAAGTGGATTCTTTTAGCTTCCAAATGTAAACAGTAAATATTGCATTTCCTCACTAACACAGCCATAAGTTACCATAATCATATGGTGTTTTCTTTTTTTGCCAGAGATAGAACCGAGGACTTAACCTACATGAGGTTTGCACTTTCCCATCCCGTTTGCTGGCGTATTTTTGGACCACTGTACTGATTCCAAAGGAGTCTGAGCTTGTTCTAAAGCTGCTTTTCATGTTGCTACCTGTTTGCTGAGATACTCCAATTATTTACATGAATGACAGTGACCTTTCTCTGTGGAGGCTGTTTTGCTGGAAGGTGATACACAGTTGCTGGTCTGAGACAGTGTGAGGATGTGAGCTGTTGTCACAGAACTGCCATGGAATGACTATTTTGATTGTGAGGACATCTGAAGGTCATCTCAGGTCTACTTGCCAGCCCAGCCACACATACTGTTCTTAAATTTCTCTTCAAATCAGTGAAAACATTAAACCTTCAGGAGATATGTTTTTCCTAAAACACCTTTACCCACTCCCATTCAGTGTACTTGTATATAAAGAAACACTGTAAGACACTGGCATCCCTCAGAATGTCTCTCCATAGGGTACTAGTCACATCAAGTGTCATGGAATTCCCAGCACTGCATCCAAGGCACCACCCAAGTCTCCACCAGGTGTGGGCCCCAGGCCACAAAAGAAACAACACCCTAAAGGAAAGAGAGAGCAAAAGGGAATGCCCTGCCACAGAGGCGGGGTGGGGTGGGGGGATGGGGAGGAAGGGCTACTGGATCACTGGTGGAGAATGGGCATTGGTGGAGGGATGGGTACTCGATCATTGTATAACTGAAACCCAAGCACGAAAGTTTGTAAGTCTACAACTGTACCTCATGGGGTTTCACTAATTAAAAAAAAAAAAAGGAACCAACTAGAAAAATGCTGATGTACAGCCAACCATGAAATATGCCTATTTTAAAAAACTGATTAAGAATAGCATAATCCCACTTATTATTAATTAAAAATATGTATGTTTTTATATCACTGGTAAAATGATATTCAAATAATTGTGAGTTGGGTCTGGGGATTGGATGAAGAACTTTTTTGTGTATTCCCTCTTTTGCCATTTCAATTTTGTACTCTGACCAAAAGTTTTCTAATTTTTTTTTAAATAAAAATATCACAAGGCTGTATTCTTAATTTACAGTACTTTATTTTCATTCATGTGACTAAAATCACAATGCATGAAAAATTTTGGCTATTTTTTATTCCACATAAGCTCCTAGTACAATTTATATATTTAAATTCAATCAGGCTTTAGAATATTTGGGTTCATAACTGCCACCATGCTTAGAATAAAATAAATCAATACACAAGCAGAAGCTTTCCTAGTCATGTATTTTAAGGCAAGGCTTTAAGAATAAGTTTCATCTGCAAATACATGAATTTCCATAGGAAGTCACAAATTCTCAAACAGAAAAATGCATATTGTAAGGGTTATCCTGATCACATTTCATCAAACTTGAAAGAAATGTTTATACAGTAGAAAAAAGACTGCATATAAGGTGGGAAAATGGAAGTGCTCAATTGGCTATTGAAGTAATGTAAATCACATCTATTTATCAGTGATGCAAACCTTAAGTATTCCCTGAAAGGCACATTTCTTTATAACATTTTTTAACCTACCTCATTAAATGAAAAGATATATTCAAGCAGTGCACATTTAAAACCAATATTTGGTTTCTGTGTACTTTAGCAGCAGTGGATTCTAAAACTGTCTCTTTTTCTATCAGTTTGAATAAATAATCATGTTTTGTGGAGATCAAATGAAATGTCAGGATGCTAGAGGAAAGAAAATTTTCACTACCCAGAACGAATACCATCTTGATGCTGCAAGGATAGATCTTTCACTATGTAGCTCATGGCACATCTTGGATTTCAGTAGGTATAAATTCTCCTTTCTGAGACAGGTGAAATTAACTGAACGAGAATATAATTTAAAGTGCTTAGAGACCTTTTGTTCAAAAGTACATGTGAATATAAGAATAATATTCAGGCCATTCATGGAGAAGAAATAAATAAGATACTTGGCTTGCTTCATAAAGCAGAGGTAAGGATGACTTTTCAATCTGGCATGCAACAGCAAGAAAGAGAACCACAGAAGCAGTGCCTAGTATTAGGCCAGGAAATACCTCAGAATTAATTCACATAAACCAAACATCTTGAGTTATGTCTGCTGCTGAATAGTCGCCTGGAGTAAGAAAGAATATATGCTTTTTAAATCATTCCTGAAAGTCTGTTTCAAAAGGAAAAAAAATCTGTACTTTTATTGCCCCCAAATCACATATCACATTTGTGTTTGTGTGTGTGTGTGTGTGTGTGTGTGTGCGCGCGCACGCGCATCATACACATTTCCCTTTAACTGATATACATTGATGCAAATAAAGGTCTTGATAAAGAACACAATAAAGGCTGTTGTGTTCCAAATTTACAAAATGAATGAGATGAAAGGGTCAGTCCTCTGTGTTTAGAGTTCTAACATACTTAGATCTGAAACAGGAATAATACATTATCAAATACATTAGTCTATTATTAGCTTTCAAATCTGCCTATCTCTATTAGGTAGTGATATTTTAAATCATTTTCTCATTTGTATTTCCAACGTGGTTTTTGAGTTTTTGTTATTTGTTTTTAATCATACTTTCTGGAGGTAGGTAAAAATAATCCTCTTGTTGCTCATGAGGAAAATGAGGCACATTTCAGGGTGCAGAAAAAAATTCATGGTTTGAAAGCAGGATTAAAATTCAGATTAAGTACCTAAACTATCGCATGCATACATAGATGCCAATCAAGTTATAGAAAGCTGCCTGGGTAGCATTAGGTATAGAAAACCTGCTTCAAATCTTCTATGAATAAAATTCATTTCACTAAGATTGATTAGGAATAAGACGGACCTCTCTGAATCCAATCTGCTCTCACTTGGAAGGTTCAGTGTGGCCTATGACCTTGGTGCCCTAAAGGAATAGCAGTGAGCTGTAGTAATAGCAATAGCAATAGTGAGCTGATTCCCAGAATCACCGTCTTACCACACTGGCATTCGACACTGGCTTCGTTAATAAAAGCAGAATTTTGCCTATTAAGCATTGGCAAATAGATGGAAAAAATGAATCTGTAAAACAACTATTTGTAAACATAAGTGTTTTTTTGGTTTATATTTTTTGGTTATTAGGGTGGGGTTTTTTTGTGGGGAGAGGAGTTTGGGGGCACATCCAGAGGTACTCTGGGCTTATTCCTGCACTCAGCAGTTACTTCTAGCAGTGCTCAGATGACCATATGGGATGATGGGAATCAAACTCAGGTCAGTGTGTAGGATGCAAGGCAAACACCCTGAAAACTGTACTATCTCACTGGTCCCATACTGATGTATTTAGAGTGAAAGCTAAGAAGTGAGAGGGGGAAAAAAATGCATGTAAGGAAAGAAAATAAGGAATGGACAGAAGAAAACTGAATTCAAAGTACCTAGTCTATTACTTTAAGATAAGTATCTACATTTATCTTTCCCTCACAGCTGTATTTGTGCTCAGCAAACCAAGCTATTAGATTAAAAATAGAAAAAGTCATTCTTATTACCACATTCTTTCCCTTTCTTGGCCCAACCCACTTCTGATTTGGGGTTTATAAATAGGAAACAATACATTGCACACCTTGTTTTTAAAAATGTCTTTAAAAATGTAACTTTGCCCAAACTCTTATGTTCAATATGCTTACAAAAATTACTTAACAGTTGGCAAGTAAGCTAATCTTGACAGAGCAAGAATCATTATCATTTAACGTGAATATAAGAAATATATTCCTGTGCAGGCCCTGAAAAACTCTAGAAAGGTAGGCAGTCTTACTCATTTTGTAGAAAGACCTTAGAAACAGAAGAAATGATTTTATATCAGTTTTTCACAGCCTCACAGCCTAAATTCTACCCCCGATGTATGTTAGTAAAAAAAAAAAAAATTCTACTGCAGTGTCATATATACCACTGAGACAAAACTTGAAATCCACATTTGCTAATTCATTATTTAAATGACCCATCCCTGAATTGTTTTTATGAACTGACAATCATATTAGAAAGTTATAAATAAAACACAAACTTGCAGTTGTTCCAAAGTAAAACTTCATAATACTCTTGAATTTCTAAAGAAGTCTTCTCAAATGTATATCAGGTGATGCCTTTTTCATTAAAAGTTCCTGTGCTGATATTTAATCAAAGGTTCCAGTGTTCAAGTATCTTGATTCTCCATGCTTCAAAACAAAAAAATCTTCAGGACTAAGTTCATATCTTTCTAGAGCCTCATTCAGTTTCGCAGGAGGTTCTAAGTAATACTGGAAAAGGACAGAGAAGAAAATAATGGAAAAAATTAAACATATGTATAATTTGGGGACATTTTTCTAAGATAAACTAAAGCAACATTTTACAGATTTATTAACTGTATTTCATGTGAATTTTGATGTTTAAGGGTCTTTGAGTTCCTCCATAGGTCAATTATTGACCACTGCTGCCTTCTAGAATATAATCCAAGAATTAGGCAAGAAACCCCTCTGAGTAATAGCGGTTACATAGTACAAGCATTTTCACTGCAAAGGGAGAAAAAGTACTCAGAGCCATGGGTCCAAACAACTATGTCTAAAGCAATCCAGTAGAGGATGGAGTGATAGTACAGCAAGTAGGGCACTTTCCTTACACGTGACCAACCCAGATTTGATTCCCAGCACCCTCTATGGTCCCCTGTGTACTGCCAGGAGTGATTCCTGAGTACAGAGCCAGGAGGGATCCCAGATGTGGCCCACCGCCTCCCCCCACCTCCCTCCCCCCCCCCCCCAAAGAAAAGAGTACTTCATCTTCTAACCCTTGTTTTAGCTGTCTCAAATCTGCTAGCATAGAAGCCTATATACCCAAACTATACTTTTTTTTGGGGGGGGGGGGAGTTGCTATATAAGCCCACATGTCGTTACCAACACAAATAAGGCCAGAGAACAGCACAGAGTGATGTTTCTCCTATCTGTCTTGTTTTTCTCATTAATATGACTTACCACCTTCACAGCAGTAGTAAACCTGACTATAGGTTCTGCTTCCAGCTTCGTCTCCAAAAGCACTGCCCGGAATGCCGAATGCTTAAAATCTTAACACGGGTCATCACAGAACCAAGGTTAATTTTTGTCCTAAACAAACTCACCTCATTGGCTAAGGCAAATGTTCCCCAATGAATTGCCACCGATTTCTTTGTTTGAACATCGATATGAATCCTTACTGCTTCATCTGGATCTACATGCTGGTATTTCATAAACCACCTGATGGAATACAGCAGTTTATTAACTCTGACTTTTGAAATAAGTCCTAACTCCTCATTACTGCTTCTCTCATCAACCTTCAAGACTGCACAGAATTAGTCTGTTAGCAAATCAGTCTCCCGCAGTCAACTTTTCTGAAGGAAAAAAATGAAGGGAAAATTCTTGTACAAACTACTTAACAATAATTAACTCAAGCAAAATTCCCCTTTGAATATTAAGATTTTATTTCATGTGCATTTTTGTTTTAGTTTAATAAGTAGAAACCTTGAAATCCTGGTATGAATCAAAGATACTGGATAATGGGAGGTTGGAGAAATAGCTCAGGCTAGAAGCATGAGCAAGGTCCTGAGTGTAATCCCCAGCATCCACATGGCTCACTGAGCAACATAAGTGTGGCCCTGATGCTCTAAGCACCACTGGTCCTAAGCAGTACCGCAGCACCAACTTCCAGCATTGAAGCATCTGGTCTGGTCAGCAGAGCATCCTTGGGAGTGGCCTTAAAGTATGCTAAAGAAATTGAATAATAATTAGAGAACTAGAAACCAAAGCTCCAATTAAAAAAGAACCAGAATAACTTTCTCAGTTTTTTTTTCACTTGCTAAAGTAAAAAGCAAAAAATGTATATATTTAAAGTTCAGGTGTAAAAAAAAAAATCAAGGATTTTATTCGAATCAAAGAACCACATGGGGAGATGTGTGGGTTGGCAGCATGGGGCAGATGAGGGAACTGATTCTAGAGAGAAGGCAGAAACATTCAAAGGCGCAGCTGAACGCCTTTGGACAAGCAGGTAGGAAGGCAGCAGGCTAAGGTCTGAACCGCAGCTCTATTGATGCCGGGAAATGCCTATGGAAAGTCCCTTCAGACTGTTTATTAAACAAAAAATATGCCCACTCAGGAAGGGATAGTAAAAGCTAAACAAGACATCGATACCACACCTGCTTTGTAGAATTCTCCCAAAAGTCTAGGCAGCAAGGTCAGAATCTGAAAGGGGAAAGTGTATTACTTCTGATGTGAGATGGCTACAAAGCAAATCCTCTGCTTCCCAAGAGAGGTGAAACAGCCTCTTCACATTAATAAAACCCCCTGTTGCCGACTGCCACTAACTTTCATAGGAATGGACTGCACAGGTGCCACTACTTTCTGCAGCACGTCATGGAAAAGTCCATCCATCTGCTGCAGCTGAGGGCTGCTGTTTACTATCAGGACTGCCAGGCCTCATGGGAGCCCACAAACAAGGCCACTGTGTCCTCCTGGCCATCAGAGAAGCATTCTCCTGACACAACCCCCCCCCCCCCCCAATGCAGGGCGAGAGGAGAACAGTTTTAGTGTGGCCATGGATTGAAACCAAAAAACAACTTCAGACCACAAATCAAAGGGAGACTCACATTCTTTTACTTTTTTTTAACCCTCAAGGCTACCTGAAATTTAAAACTTAACATCCCAAATGATTTGGACTAGATACACAGGGACAGGATATCCCCAAACTAAGCAAGAATGACCCCAAACATATTCGTGAAAGTCATTTGGATAAAGCCAGCTTTTATATTCATAACATGTTCTGCAACTCTGTTGATACATGACCTTCTGATCTTCTTTTCCTTTTTTTTTAATTGACTCTATAGACGGTCTTCTAAGATTCTGATTGCTGGCCCAGAGCTATGAATGGCACAATGGAGGCACATAATTTAATGTTTGTAGAGCTAATACTGTCCTCCTGTCCTCCTCTAATCTTAGAAATAAGAGAGCTGCAATGCAAGTAGGAGGGAAGAATTCAGTAAGCAAATTTGTGATGTCACTCTCACACCAATGACAAACTGACACAACATATAAAACAGCCATAAGGACATATAAGAGGGGCCAGAGCGATAGTACAATGGGTAAGGCACTTGCCTTGCAAGCAGACTATCTGGGTTCGACCCACAGCACCCCATATGGACCCCCAAGCCGACTAGGAGTGATCCCTGAGTGCAGAGCCAAGAGTAAGCCCTGAGCACCACCAGGTGCGGTCCAAAAACCAAAGGGGAACAAAGGGGGAAGACATGTAATAGATATTCTTCAGGAACTGAGTAAAGATCGATACCATATGAACCTGACTCGAGAACAGTCTCACTGGTATTTTCAGAGGTCTCATTAAAAGTCAGAATTAGTAAAATAAAAATAATAAAAGTCCTATTTTGATACTAATATTTACTTATAAGTTTTAAATAAGTCTAAAAAATATTTAGCCCCTACAAAAGGACAGGAGAAAGCAAAAGGGAGAAACAAAAATGAAGGCAGATAAGAAATGGACGGGGAGGAGGCCATGGCTCAGAGGGCTGGGGTGCGTGCTCTGCCTGTGAGAAGCCGAGTTAGATCCCCAGCACCTCCCTTCCTCCATAAAGGCCCCGGAGCACCAATCAGATTCTCTCAATTCATCAATGGATTAGTCAAACACACATTCCTCTGCTTTGGAGTGCCTAAAGAAAAAGCAAGGCTGACACTCTAGGGGTAAAGGCAGCTCAGACAGAAAAGGGAACACCAAATAAAGGGTGCTGGGAAGATCTGCCCAGGATGGGAGATGCCTGCTGAAAGTAATCTATGAACCAAACATGATTGCCACCCACTGTCTCTTCTGCAGACCACAGCACCCAAAAGGAGAGATAGAACAAAAGAGAGTGCCCTGACACAGAGGCAGGGTGGGATGGGGCCTGGGGGGGGCGGGGATACTGGGATTGGTGGGGGTGGAGAATGGGCACCGGTGGTGGGATGGGTACTCAATCATTGCATAACTGAAACCCAAGCACAACAACTTGTAAGTCTACAACTGTACCTCATGGTGTTTCACTAATTTAAAAAAAAAAACATTAGAAAAATTTAAAAAATAAATAAAAAAGAAAAGGCAAGGCTGTATCCCAATTCTGCATGAGCCTTTGGATACTTATTTTTGAAAATCGGCCCTTTGCTACTCATCAATGTTATTTTTCTTTTGTGTATATTAACTTGTGATCACTGATAACTGAATTTTTTTAAATCACTTCTCTTTCCCTTAGACAGTATTAAGAACCACACAGGCAGCAGCTAGATCTGTTATATCCTGGAATGATAGCGTGAGTGTACTGAAAGGTTGCAGAGGCATTGGTGAGAGATGCAAGAACATTACTACCAGATTAACTTTCATGTAGGCTGAAACCAGGCCCTCACCTGGGACTAATGCTTTGTTTAGGTCAAGGACTGAAAAACAGCTAAAGAAAGAGATTATCCTCCATGTGATAGGAAAATCAAGATTGAGGTCTGGTTGATGGGTTTAACTCTATAATCAGAATGATAAAGCAGGATCCAGAAAGATAGTACAGCGGGTAGGGCACGTGCCTTGTAAAAGGCTGACCCGGGTTCAATCCCAGGCATCCCATATGGCCACCTAACACTACCAGGAGTAATTCCTGAGCTCCATTAGGTATGGCCCAAAACACAAAAGAAAGAACAATATGGTACTTTTTGCTAATAATAATAATTCTTTATACTTTGGCCTCCCCCCCCCTTGGTAATATTTCTGATTTTCAATCATCTTGTATTAAACTATTTTATATTAGATAATATATTTTTTGTAAAATTAACTGAATCTGACACACCATTCACAATAGATAACATAATTCACCAGTAAAATCACAGATTCTGCAGTGTCACAAATTCTAAGTACTTAAGCTAAGCAACTATGCAGCTTTCTTTTGGTGCCTACATACCTGGGCGCATAAGCTCCGATGGGAATAGCAGCCAGGTCGAAAGGTCCAAATCTTTTCCCAATCTCTTCAAAAACAGAGCAATACCCAGTGTCGCCTGCAAAAAAAAATCGATTCCAAGGTCCCAAAACAGACCAGCTGCCCCACAGAACCTTGTTGTCATCCATCAGAGTCCTTTTGCACCAGTGCTGGGAAGGCGTAAAGACAAAGGTGACCGCATCGTGTCCAGGGACACAATTCTCCTCCCACCAGTCCAGCTCAATCACATTCTCACAGCCACATTTCTGCATCCAGTCCAGGAGACCCAAAGGCACGAACCATCTCAAGTCATTCCCGAACCGCTCGTTCAGAGCAACAACAGAGTTATAGTCCAGGTGGTCATAGTGATTGTGACTAATGAGGACGGCGTCGATTGGGGGGAGCTCACTGACGGAGCACGGCGGAGGACGGAAACGCTTGGGGCCCATGAACTGCAACGGAGAAGCCCGGGTGCTGAAGATAGGATCCGTGAGAAATATGAGCTCGTCCATCTCCACCATCACTGTGGCATGGCCCAGCCAGGTGACACGTAAGCCCTCTTCCTTCACTCGGGCTTCTGTGGGGTCGCTGACGAAATAGGGCTTGAGGACCGGCAGCTCTTTATCAAGTTCCTGGTAAAGACATAAGAGCAATTATTGGGAGCAGAGGGGATTAAGGCCTCACCAACCTACTTTGATCCAAATTCTACAGAGAAGGGCAATTTGCTACTTTATCTTTTTCTTCCTCTTGAAAATACAGAATTCTCTATAATCATGCCAGTCCAACAACAGGAAGTCCTGTTGGTCCCAAATGGAATAGACTCAGAGAAATTTAAGTGTTAAATACTGAATGATGCTGAATTTATTAGCCTTTTACAAAGTTGATTTTTATCTTATTTCTTGGGATGGGGGGGTGGGGAATCCCAAAGCTGGAGACCACCAAAACTATACCCAGATGTGCTCTAGGGGCAATGTGATGCCAAGGACTGAAGCCAGGGCCATGCACACACAGGGCATATGTGCCACCACGGAAGCTTCATCCCCAGCCTAGTAAGTCTACCCTGTATCTGTGGGTTACACAAGACCAACAAGAAGCTGTGTTTGTGGGGGGTCACTGTCCTGGCTATTTTTTATTGTTGTTGGTGGTGTTGTTTGGGGGCCATAGATAGCTGTGCTCAAGGCTTACTCCCGGCTCCGTGCTCAGGGGACCATATGGAATTCAAGATTCTGAGGGGCTGGAGCAATAGCACAGCGGGTAGGGTGTTTGCCTTGCATGCGGTCAACCCGGGTTCAATTCCCAGCATCCCATATGGTCCCCTGAGCACTGCCAGGGGTGATTCCTGAGTGCAGAGCCAGGAGTAACCCCTGTGCATTGCTGGGTGTGACCCAAAAAGCAAAAAAAAAAAAAAGAGAGAGAGAGAGAGGATTGGGGGGCGGGGGGAAGGGGGTAATGGATAAGGATATTCATGCTTTTTGGGGGGGAGGGTACAATAAAAATGCATTAGAGTGTGGTGATAATCAAACTCTTCTGTGAATATGCTAAAAACCATGGTAGTATGAATTCTTTATCAATAAGCCTGTTTTCAAAAAGGCAATACACTGGGCTCGCAGACTGGCTTGGTGGCAGGGCATGTGCCACATCCCATGAGGTCACGGTCAATCCTCAGCATCACCCACACTGTTAAGTGTGATCCCCAGAAACAATGTAGTCCCCAGCAAGCACCACAACCAAGTTTGAACCTACAAACATCACTTCCAACATCTTTTTTTTTAATACAAAGCATTGAATCAAGCAGTCACTTTTTTCTTTTCCATTTTTCCTTCATGCCATATCGTTCGCTGCCTCTCACACAAAGGTAGTTAGTTATGATGTGGTGAACTGGCACTGCTATTTGTGTTCATTAAACCATATTCAAGTAAATTCCAGTGGTTTACACCAGCACAGATGTGTTCAAGATTTTTATTTCCAGCCTAATGGCCTCCATTAAACATAAATGAAATCTAAAACTGAGATTCCAAAAAGAAAAAATGATTTTTTAAAAAAATTTTATTTTCTGGGGCTACGGTGCTGCCAGCAGGTCAATCTGTACCTGTGAGGCGAGTGCATAAGCAGCCTCATGGCGCCTTCAGACTTCCAGATACCCCAAAAATGCTGCTCTGCCTTTGGCCAGACCCCAAAAACTTGGGGCAAAGTTAACCAAGAAGGTAAATGGCCAAAAATTAGGTATGTGGAAGACACACCCACGAACCACCTCGGGCTCAGCTATATAATTGGAGGCATGGCCGCTATGGTTCCCGATTGAACCGCTTAACGGCCATGATCCCAGAGACTCAGAAACAAATCTTGAAACCCAATGGCCTTTGGCAGAAATGCGTCCGGTCCCTGCAGTAGGTTACCGGTGCTGGGCCAACCCAGGTGGGAATAGGTTTCATGCCTTGGCCTGTTTCCCCTGGCAGCCTGGTGGACGCCATCCTCCAGAGGCCACTGGACAGTCAGGTTTGGGCCCACAGTGATGAGACACACAGGGCCTCAACGGTTGGGGGTGGAGCCAGCCCTTTCCTCCCCACCCAAATGAGACTCTGAGTCGCCTCCCACAAATGGCCTCTATGGCTCCTGATCAAGCTGCTTAAGGGCCATGATCCCAGAGACTCAGAAACAAATCTCGAAACCCAGCGGCTTTTGGCAGAAATGCATCTGGACTCTGCAGTAGGTTACTGTAGCCAGGCCACCCCAGGTGGGAAAGGGTACTGTCCCTCCGCCTGCTCCCCTTTGGCAGCTCAGTGGCCACCATCCGCCAGAGGCCACTGGACAGTCAGGTTTGTGCCCACAGTGACGAGACACATGGGGCCTCATGGGATGGGGGTGGAGCTGGCCCTTTACTCCCCATCCCAAAGAGACCCCCCAAGTCACTGCCCCTGAACAGCCTCTGACTCCTGATCAAGCCGTTTAATGGCCATGATCCCAGAGACTTAGAAACAAATCTCGAAACCCAGTAGCTTTTGGCAGAAATGCGTCCAGGCCCCGCAGTAGGTTACTGTCACTGGGCCAACTCAGGGGCAAAAGGGTGCTGTCCCTTCACCTGGTCCCCCTTGGTGGTTCAGTGGCCACCATCTGCCAGATGCCATTGGACAGTCAGGTTTGGGCCCGCAGTGACGAGACACGCGGGGACTCATGGGATGGGGGTGGAGCCAGCCCTTTCCTCCCCATCCCAAAGAGACCCCAAGTCGCCGCCCATGAACAACTTCTTTGGCTCCATTTAATGGCCATGATCCCAGAGACTTAGAAACAAATCTCGAACCCCAGTGGCTTTTGGCAGAAATGCATCTGGTCCCTGCAGTTGGTTACTGGCACTGGGCGACCCCAGGTGGGAATAGGTTTCGTGCCTTGGCCTGTTCCCCCTGGCAGCCTGTGGCCGCCATCCTCCAGGCACCACTGGACAGTCAGGTTTGGGCCCACAGTGACGAGACATACGAGGCCTCATGGGATGGGGGTGGAGCCGGCCCTTTCCTCCCCATCCCAACAAGACTCCGAGTTGCCACCCATAAACGGCCTTTCTGGCTCCTAATCAAGCTGCTTAAAGGCCATGATCCAAGAGACTCAGGAAAAACTCTCAGAACCCAGCAGGTTTTGGCAGAAATCCCTCCAGATTTAAGTGTTAAAATTTTGGAATTTCAAAATCGCACAGCCACTACTACAGCCATGTGACATCATACCTTATTCTTAACCAGCAATAGAAATCAAATTGCCTACTGTTTCCTTTTCAGCAGATCTGAGTATTGGGGTAAAATCCCAAATGATGATGATGGATCTGGTGTCAAAATATTGAATGTGATCAAAGTAGAGAGAGAGTAATGTGAAAGTCATATGCCCCACAGGTAGGGGGAGAGTGTGGGATGGGGGTATACTGGGGATTTTAGTAGAAGAGAAGGGGCACTGGTGAGGGTATGGGTGTTTCATTGTGTGACCGAGACTTAAACCCAAAAGCTTTGTAACTGCTCTCATCGTGATTCAATAAATAAAATTATATATATGTGGGCCACCATCCTCCCATTGTTCATCGATTTGTTCGAGCGGGCCCAGTAATGTCTCCATCATGAGACTTGTTGTTACTGTGTTTGGCATATCAAATACATCACGGGTAGCTTGCCAGGCTCTGCCATGCGGGCGAGATACTCTCAGTAGCTTGCCGGGCTCTCCGAGAGGGGCGGAGGAATCGAACTTGGGTCGGCCATGTTGGCCGCTTATAAGGCAAACACCCTACCGCTGTGCTATCGGTGGAGTTCATGCCCAATTCAATCAGCTAATCAGTGGCTGAATAAATAGCAGTACTCCTACATAAAAAAAATTTTTTTTTACTTTGTGTACAAGTTACCAGAGACAGGAGAAGCAAAAGTTGGATGCAAGCAGGGGAATTATTTTCTAGCTGAGGACACCAAGCCCTCACTTGGCCTTTTCCTGAGTAGGTCAAGATTTTTCTTGTTTATTCAATCTTTCTTAAAAATGCAAATGAAACTTCTTCCCACCCTGACAAGGCCCCGAGTTGCTGCCCACAAAGAGCTCCTCCAGCTCCTGAACGGCCGTGATCCCAGAGGCACACAAACCAATCTCAGAACCCAGTGGCTTTTGGCAGAAATCCCTCCAGACTTATTACTAAAATATCAGGAATCCAAAATCACGTGGCTGCTATTGCAGCCGCACAACATCATATGCTCTTCGTGATCAGCAATAGATTCTAAAGATGCCTTTTCGGAAGGTCTGATTGTTGGGGGGAAATTCCAAATAATAATCGTGGGTCTTTTGTCATATGTTGAATGTGATCAAAGTGGAGAGAGAGAGTACAGTAGAGATCTTCTGCCACACAGGCAGGGGGGATGGGAGGTATACTGGGGTTCTTGGTGGTAGAAGGTGTGCACTGGTGAAGGGATGGGTGTTTGATCATTGTATGACTAAGCCTTAAACTAGAAAGCTTTGTAACTGTTCTCATGGTGATTCAATACATTTAAAAAAATGCAAATAAAAAAAAAACACACATCCATAATGAATAGTACATGTTAATGTTTTACTTCTCCTGGTAAAGAGAGAAATAATCCTAACTCTTTGCCCTACTGCTTCCTGTACATCATGTTATCTTACTCTGTGACACAGATGTTACTGCCACTTGACAAGATAAGCAGTCCAGGGTAGAGGAGAAAAATCTTTCCAGAGCCTTACCACAGCAAGGAAGTCTCAGGAGTGGACTCCTGAAAGGGTCCTCTGAAGCCCTTTCTTTTTGCTAAGCTATAAACCAGTGAAATCCAAATTCCTGTTAATGTGTTTGTGTCCAGTGTGTTGAGTGAGTTCAAAGTGAAAAATCTGATGCAAACTGGTGGCAATCCTATTTTCTGGGGGCTGGGGATGCGGTTCAGTAGCTGAGCACATCCCTTTTTGTGTAAGGTTCTGGATTCAAACCCCAGCACTAAGCGGGGGGGTGGGGGGGGGGGAATCTGAAAATACTCTTTTTTTTACTGCCTCAGAAAGCTTTAATAACTATATTTTGCAATCTCAATGTTTACTAGAAAACTACATTTTTCTTTTTCATACTTAAACTTTTCCTTGATTATATTATGCCCCAGGCTAGAGCAATAGCACAGCGGGTAGGGCATTTGCCTTGCACAAGGCCAACCTGGGTTTTATTCCTCCACCACTCTTGGAGAGCCCGGCAAGCTACGGAGAGTATCCTGCCCACATGGCAAAGCCTGGCAAGCTCCCCGTGACATATTCGATATGCCAAAAACAGTAACAACAAGTTTCACAATGGAGACATTACTGGTACCCACTCGAGCAAATCGATCAACAATGGGAGAACAGTGCAGTGCATATTATGCCCATCATAAAATATTTTTTTTTAATTTTTTATTAGTGAGACACCATGAGGTACAGTTGTACATTAGTTGTACACCATGAGGTACCTTACAAATTTTTGTGCTTGGGTTTCAATTATACAATGATCAAATACTCATCCCTCCACCAGTGCCCATTTCCCACCACCTCAAATCCCAGTATCCCTCCCACTTCCCATCCCCCATCCCACCCTGCCGCTTTGTTTTCTTTTTGGCAGAAATCACTCCAATCATGTCCTCTGCCTCATTCCAGTTTAGTAGTGATATGAACCATCACCAATGACAAAGAGCAGTTGCAAAAACAATACTCAAAAGTCAGGTCCACACTCAGGAGAGAACACTGTAAAATATTTTTAAAACACACAAAAAAGTTAAGAGCCATGCAGAGCCAGGGAGGTAGCTCAGGATGTGAGTCTGGCACACACCCGGTCCTGAGTGTGATCCCAGCTCTGCCTGGCCGCTCATCAACCCAGGGTTGGCTGCTTATACACACAAGTATTTAAGCCCTAACATTGGTTTTTAAGTGGTGCATACTGAGAAAGGGAGAGAGCCTTTGAGACTCTGGGCTGCAGAGACAGCTCCTGGGACTAGCCTTATCTCCAGCACCACATGTCCCCCAGCTCTGCTGGCAAGTGCCCTGCTGGCCCCCAGCACCACTGCAGCACTGGGCTGGCAGGCCCAGCACTGGCACATTTTTAGAGACTCAACCCCATTACTTGAGCAGCTGCAAATCACTAGAGTGCTGTCTTTTGGTCTTCACCTGGACACTTGCTTCCTTTATGAAATAAAACAAAACTAAAGAAGCCTCTGCATTTTTTTAAAGCACAAACACCAGGAAGCCATCTGGTCCCCCGCAGCCTCTTCCCCTCACCTTCTTTCTTCACAGTGAATCCATATTTCTCTTCACATGGGGTTTCTCGAGAACCAAGAAAAAAAAGGGGGGGGGATGTTTCTGCCCCTCCCATCTTTAAAACCGCAAACTGGGGGCCGAAGTGATAGCTCAATGAACTGACATGTTCGATATGTCACGTGCTTTGCAAGCAGGAGGCCCAGGTTCCACTCTTAGCACAGCGTGGACGCCCAAGCATTATCCAACGCTGTGAAGCCACCTTCCACCTAACCAGCCTAACTCACCGCCTCGTTCCCGGTGCTGCCATGCTCTTGGCCTCCCCAGGAGGTGGCCAACTGACAGTGGCCTGCTCATCTCGGTCTTTTGCTACTAAACTCCAGAGCAAGGATACCTTTTTCACCTTACCTGTCTAGAACCAAACCCTCCGCCTTATCATAGAAAAGAGACTTGACTGTCAGAATCCACAGCGAACGCAAAGAAGGATGCATTATGTATAAACTGCAGGGCATGGTGAGAGAAACTTCTCAGGGCCGGAGTGATAGTACAGTGGGTAGGGCGTTTGCCCTGCACACAGCCGACTTGGGTTTGATTCCCGGCATTCCATATGGTCCCCCAAGCACCACCAGGAGTAATTCCTGAGTGCAGAGCCAGGAGTAACCCCTGAGCATTGCTGGGTGTTACCCCAAAAGCAAAAAAAATAAAAATAAAAAGAGGGATACTTTCTCTTTCTATCCCCTCTCTTTCCCTGGAGGGAAATGCGCTGAATAAAGACTTGTCAGTAAAAATAATGGTGATGATAATAGTAACAGGATTTGAATTCAGCTACACAGAACTCAAAATAGCTAGGCCTCACCTCTTTGGACGACGGGATACCGCTGTGGTCCTTTTCCATTATCAGCCACCTGAGAACACTTGGCAGAGAGGGACTTAGCCACGTGGGCCAAGGATTGACAAATCTCCCATTCTTTCCTTTCTCTGATTTAGTCACATCCTCCTCTAGTCTGTAGTCCAGCTTGAAACTCTTCCTGGATGACCTAGAAGATTCACTTCCTCCAGAGTTGCGTGCGGAGTTGTTGCGTTTCCTCACGGCTTCTTTAGGATACTGGCTAATTGCCATCAGGGACTGGCTGCTTTCATTTTCATCCATGCTTTTTGGCAAAGAACTGAAGGAGATAAAAAGGTGTGGGGGTTAATAAGTTTATCATGAAGGTGTTAAAAATAAAAAAAAATTACATACTGTCTCAGGCAATGAAGATTTCTATAAACTATTAAAACAATTTGTCTAAACATTATGTCTATAATTCAAACTTTCTTCCTCTAAAATATAATTTTGGAATGCGGTATGACAGTTTGCTATGCTAGAATAGGGGTTTGCATTACCTATTACTGTCAAACCTTGTAAAAATTCCATTCCTTCTGTAATCCAAAATAACCTAGTCCATGAGTCAGCACATAAAATTTTCTATTTCAAAGGTATCTTAGAGGATAAATTAAATCATCTTCATGAATCTGTACATTTTCATATCTGATTTTTTTTTAATGAGGGAAAAATTCCCAAGTAGTACTCAGGGGCCTGGGGGCTAATCCCTGATGTACTTTGTCTAGCTGTGAGGGTCAGAAGGCTCAATGCATGGCCTCGTGATAAGGTGCTGGTTGGGCCAATACCCTGTGGTGCTGGGGAGTATGGAGCAATGCCAGGGATGCAACTCTATGCATGCCAACAGGCATGCATTTCAACCCTTTGCACTGTATCTCCCCAGGCCCCATAACCAGAATTTTAATAACATGTAGTAAGAGGGACTGCCTTAATTTCTTGGGAACACCTCAGTGATTTAAGGAACTTGAAGCTGAAGCGATAGTAGGGTGTTTGCCTTGCACGAGGCGAACCTGAGTTCGATCCCCAGCATCCCATATGGTCCCCTATGTACCGCCAGTAGGAATTCCTGAGTGCAGAGCCAGGAGTAACTGCTGAGCATTGCTGGGTGTGACCCAAAAGGGGGAAAATATATATATATGTATATATACACACATATATGTATATATACATATATATATATATATATATATATATATATCACTGTCACTGTCCTCCCGTTGTTCATCGATTTGCTTGAGCAGGCCCAGTAATGTCTCCATTGTGACACTTGTTACTGTGTTTGGCATATCAAATATGTCACGGGTAGCTTGCCAGGCTTTGCCGTGCAGGCGAGATACTCTCAGTAGCTTGCTGGGCTCTCCGAGAGGATGTATATATATTAAAAATTAATAAAGAACGTTATATATAACCCCAGTAAACCTAGTCATTTTTACTTTGAAGGTAATCTCTTGCCAATGCCCGAAGCAAGTGCAATGCAATCAGACATCAGGACAAGAGATAAATGATTATTTGAGGGACATTTCAATATTGTATTTAAGTGATTAACAACACAAATTTTAACTAACTCAGATTTAAAACTGCCAGTCAGAGCAGAATGCATCTAGCTAGGTGACCTTAGATAAGTTTCTTAGTCTATCCCTGCCTCAATTTCCTCATTCATGAAATGGACATAATGGTACCTACCTCTAAAGGTTATTAAGAAGATTTTTTTTAAACTCTATAAGAAAAGCACTTAGGGGCTGGAGCAATAGTACAGCAGGTAGGGTGTTTGCCTTGCACATGTCTGACCCAAGTTCGATCCCTGGCACCCTATATGGTCCCCAAAGTCCTCTGGGAGTGATCCCTAAGTGCAGAACCAGGAATAAACCCTGAGCATTGTGAGGTGTGGCCCAAAGAGAAAAAGATAAAAGAAAGCACTTAGAAACATGGATATGAGACTAACATGTATGTAACAAATATAACACCCACATACATATGCACATAGCAGCTCAAGCCACTTCAGCAGCTGCTGCTGACCTTACTACTGCTGCTACCTCCACCACCTCATTTCCAGCACTGAAATCCTAATTTTAAGCTCTCCGGAACTCCAAACATATAAACGCAGTAAGTAATGTCTTAAGAATAAGCACTGGAGCTGGAGCTATAGTACAGCACGTAGGGAGTTTGCCTTGCGGCTGACCCGAGTTCAATTCCCAGCATCCCATATGATCCCCCAAGCACCACCAGGAGTAATTCCTGAGTGCAAAGCCAGAAGTAACTCCTAGGCACCACTGGGTGCGACTCAAAAAGCGAAAAAATTAAAAAAAAAGAATAAGCACTGATCTGCTATAAATTTCATATCTTCCCAACTCTGTTAAGCAAATATTTGCTTTCTATTTAGTTTCAATGCTATGTATACACATAAAACACTTCATAACCCTAAGAAAATAAGCGTACAAACAATTAGCCAAATATTGTTTCAATGGTATTTAAGAGAAAAAATAGTGTCCAGGAAAAAAAACGACTACAAACCCTTAAACAAACACCATATACCGATACAAAACTTCATTCCCCAGCTGCCTAGAGTGAAGTCTATGGCCAGATTGAGAAAGAAAATCACAGTGAACCAAAGAAGCAGCTCATACCTGCCCCAAGGCTGTGTGTCAGTGGCTTGTAACCGGTAACATGTTTATTTCATCTTGGACAAATGACTTTTCTAGTCCTCAATTTTCTCATCTACAAAATCCTAATAGCCTGTGGGAAATATAAAAAGTTAAATGACAGAGCCAGGAAGATAGCTCAGGGACCAGAGCACATGTTATGCATGGGAAAACGGGGCTCAATTCCTGGCACTGCACAGGGTTCCAAGAGCACCCTGGGAAGAGCAGCTCTGAGCATCACCAGGTGTAAAAAAAAAAAAAAATTTTTTAAATGACATAATAAAATGCATTCCACCTACCAGATACTAATTCTCTTTTTCCCCTGCAGCACTGTAGCACTGTCCTCCCATTGTTCATTGATTTGCTCAAGCGGGAACCAGTAACATCTCCACTGTGAGACTTGTTACTGTTTTTGGCATATCAAATACTCCATGGGGAGCTTGCCAGGCTCTGTCATGTGGGCAGGATACTCTCAGTAGCTTGCCGGGCTCTCCAAGAGGGATGGAGAAATCGAACTTGGATCAGGCGAGTGCAAGGCAAACACCCTATCCACCATGCTACTGCTCCAGCCCCTTTTTTATACTTTTTCCCCTAATCCTGCTAAATTGCTATATATATATATATATATATATATATATATATATATATATATCAATTCTTTACATGCTATTAGAAAACAAAGGATCTGGGTGAGTATCTCAGTTCTTACGGGCTCTCCTTATCTGTAAAGTAAGTAAGTAAAGGCCCTCCCGTTGATCGTCGATTTGCTCAAGCGGGCCCAGTAACGTCTCCATTGGAGACTTTGTTGTTACTGTGTTTGGCATATCGAATACGTCACAGGGAGCTTGCCAGCCTCTGCTGTGCGGGTGAGATACTCTCGGTAGCTTGCCGGACTCTCCGAGAGGGGCGGAGGAATCGAACTCGGGTCGGCCATGTTGGCTGCGTGTAAGGCGAACGCCCTACCGCTGTGCTGTAGCTCCAGCCCCTCCTCAGTCTCTCCTTATCTGAGTGATAATTAATTTAGAAAGAGTAGAAAGGAAGATCATGTAAACCCAACATCAGAGCAGACAGAAGCATACACATTTAAGTTCTTTCTCAATAAGAAAACATGTTTAAAGGATGGTAGAGCCAGCCTCATGGTACTTCTCACAATAATAAAATGTAAGATACATGCATTTGCTATATATGTGTATAGACACACACACACACAGACAACACAATACAAAGTAAAATTCTGGCTTACCTGTTTTTATCCTTAATTAGGGAATATGAAATAATAGAGAAAATGACATCTCTAATTTAAAACCGTTACTATACAGTAGTAACGTATCTGGGAAACGAGAAGAAAGATTTGGGACCTAAGAGATAGTACAAGAGTAAAGGCACTGCCTTGCTTGAGACTAAAGCAAATACCACCATGAGAACCCCCAGCCCCCAGCACCCTCCCCCAGCATAAAGCCAGGAGTAGCCTTCAAACCCCATGCCCACCGCCCTAAAAAAAAAAAAAAAAGGTTTGTGAGAGTTAAAGCAGTAAAGGTATAAAGGATGGGACTAAATTTTTTTTAAATTTTTATTAGTGAAACACCATGAGGTACAGTTGTAGACTTACAAATTTTTGTGTTTGGGTTTCAATTATACAATGATCATTTTCCACTACCACAGATCCCAGCATCCCTCCCACCTCCCATCCCCCCCATCCCACCCTGCCTCTGTGGCAGGGCATTCCCTTTTGTTCTCTCTCTCCTTTTGGGTGTTGTGGTTTGCAAAAGAGGCACTGAGTGGCAATCATGTTCGGTCTATAGTCTACTTTCAACAGGCTTCTCCCATCCTGGGAGAATCCTCCCAACACCCTTTATTTGGTGGTCCCTTCTCTATCTGAGCTGCCTTTTCCCCTAGCATGTGTGGCTGGCCTCCAAGCCATGGAATAAACCTCCTGGTACTAATCTCAGCTATTCTTGGGTGTTATTCTCCTACTTTGTTACTTTATGTTCCCAGATGAAAGCAATCTTTCTATGTCTATCCCTCTCTTTCTGACTCATTTCGCTTAGCATAATACTTTCCATGTAGTACCACTTGTATGTAAATTTCATGACTTCATCTTTTCTAACAGCTACATAGTACTCCATTGTGTAGATGTACCAAAGTTTCTTTAACCAAGGATGGGACTAAATTTTGGGCCTGAACTCATATATTAAATTTAAGTGTATGTAATGGAACTATTCTGATTATGAGATAAAAATCATGAGATAAAAAAAAAGAGATAAACCAAGAACCCAGGAAAGATGGATTGATGAATAGGAAATATGAAAGGCTCAGAAAACATTCACTATGTAAAGTAAAGCACTATGCTATAGTGTTTTATATATTTTCTTTAAAGTAATGCTTGAGTAAAAATTCAAGATTGGGGGGTGGTCAGGGTGGCTATGCCGCCAATAGGTCAACCCGTACCTGGAGACTAAGTGTTATCAGCAGCCTGATGGTGCCCCAACAACGCAGGGTCAAGTTTCCCAAGAAATTAAATGGCCAAAAGTTAGGCATACAGGAGTCACACCCACAAACCACCTCCAGCTCAGCTATACAAGCTCATTCACTGACCTTGCTTCAAAAACCCATAAATAAATCTCAAAAGAGATCAAAAGTTGCAGTT